GATTGAAACACAAAAAGTACTAACGAGCGAACATGTGTTATTATCACAACAACCAAATAAGTAATTGACCTGAAATGAAATGGAAAGCGAGGACAAACATAGTATAGAGGCTAGGACCGACTAGCGTAACCATAGAGGAGGACAGAGAGAAAAAGAAACAATAATAGTCTAGCTAAAGGACCCATACAACAGTATGATATGCATCTGTCGGAGGAATATCAAGGCTGTGTACGTATATGTACGCATTGGACAAGGCCGATAGATTGTATAAGGAATGGGGTCTACAAAGCGAAACAAATACATCGTATGAAACAACCAAAACCATCATTAGGAAACGGGGTTAAATAGTAGATGCATCTTGCTTCCAGTCATGAGGAGATGGATGCTGTTGTCACCACTGCCGACAGAGGATAGAGATGAATGAATCAAGTTCATGTGAGAGTGGAACGGTGGGGAAATCCAGTGAGTATTCATACTTGGGTGAGTCACTAAACCGTGGACAGTCAAAACGCTTTGTATTGTTGGCGAATTTAAAACGAAACACCCGATTTATACCCAAGTCAAGAAACTAATGCTCATGTATCTGGCATTAGCAATCCCAGCTGTGCCTTGAAATGAGAAATATAAAGGAATGCAAATCAAGTAGGGAGAAGGGGAATTTTACCTGAGCAGATGATAATACTGGAGCTTTTAGGATGGTAAAAAAGTAAGTTTTAAAGGAATCAGTTGGCAGAAGGGGTAAAGATGCTGAAGCTGATAGGTATTGGGTGTTGCCTGCCCCACCACTGGCTTCCAACCCATTTGGTATAATCAAACGGAGATACCAGGAATCGAACCCGGGACGATAAGAATGTTAGTCGAAACTTCCACCCCTTGGATTACCGGGACACGACAGTCCAAGTAATCGAGTTGGCCGAGGTACACTTCGATGAGAATTGAGGTCCACATCCAAGTTGGGTGTCACAATGCGTTCACACGAGTGGCCCAATCGGCGACCCAACAGCATGTAACTGATTCACAATACTTTTAACCGGGGATGTGATAACCATGGTCTATGGGAGCAAGCACCATCGTTTGATAATTCGGCGCGATAAAAGAGTATTTGCCCAAACTCGATCGGAGCGCGGTTTCTATGGCTTGATGGAGTAACCACGAAAGCTAGATAGCTTAGTGAGATTACAGGCCGAGCTTCCTCGTGAGAACGCATTAGAAAAAAAGCAAGTCTCCACAAGTCCTCTGATAGTGCACTGAGCACATCCTAGTCAGCCAGGGTGTGATCTGGGTTGTGGGGAAATAACAGTTACCTTATGCACCGATTCTTTTCAGCCGGTGTCGGCCATTACGGAGGACACCGAGGGGGCAGTTTTTGACGACGTATTGCATTGTCTTCCACCCGATGCTGAGACACGGGCCCCTGCGCCTGTTAGTCAGAGGAGAACTAAAGCTGCCAGTAAGCTCGCTGTCAGGCTGAAGGTGCAAAAAGTGATAAGACGCTACAATCAGAGTAAAAAAACAAGCCCCAACTGCTTCAGCGTCTTCTGAGAGGGAGCATGCGGTGACACCATCATCGGAAAAACAACTAGTGTTGGTGTGGAAATAAAAACCCGTGGAGTAAACACCCCGTCGTGGCGATTTATACATGGATGCTAAGGTTATAGTCTGTAACATGGTCAAATCCACAGCTATTCCGGCTGTTGTTAAAGTAGAAGGTCACAGCAGTACGCAGTACCGAGACTTCGCTGCAGCGCAACTATCGACAGTCATGCGTGAGCTACGGATACCGCGCCAGTCGCCCGGTATCGTGCGTCGGCTCAAACCTGCATCGCCGGATTATAAAGCAGGCTTGTGATACTTTAGGCTAAGGGCCAGCGTTCTTCCTGCTGACTACACGTGGGATGACCTCTAGTATCTTAAACTGTGTGACGAAGCTTCTTCCACTGGGTTTTCCCTGTGTTACTGCCAGCAAAGCTGAGTAGAATGGGAACCGCCCCACATGGTCGTCATCATCATCATTACACGTTAGCCGAGAGTGAGACACACCTGAGCTAATGTGCTGCAATACAAAAATATAAGAAATTAAACAACAGACTCAAAAAGCTACAAAAAATAACATAATGTCAAATATCACATAAGCGAAAGGTTTGAGATCCTTTTACGAGGTACACCAAATCGTCGACCTCGCCCAATGCGCGTAGCCCTTTTCATTTCGGAAGAGCGCAAATTGCTTCTGAGGGTTGATTTTAAACTTAGGGGGTAATATTTCGATACAGCTGGCGAATAGACTGAAATAAGAGGAAGCCATCGTGGCCTCAATAGTAGGAGAGCGGTGTGTGAACAAGGTCTTTGGTTAGTGGGTTTCTAAGGTGGTCAGCCGGCAATTCATTTCCGTCCGTTGGATAGCGCACGATTGTGCTCAGTAACGTGCGTGGCTTAAAGAATAAAATGTATGAGTTAGTTCTGCCTATAGACGTCACACTTTAACATGCTCGACTTCATTGAAAAGTGGGTATTTAAGGACATCACGGACGGTGAAGTACGTATATTCGGCTACGCCCTGTTTAGGTATGGCCGCTCCGTTGGATGACAAAGTGTGGGTGACTTCTGTACCTGAGGTGTAAATATGGTGTCATCAGACTTAATAGTTTTAGTCAATGGATAAAACGGTTGATGCTTTATCGGCTGCTAGTAGCACGTCCGCTGCTCAATTTAGTAGTAGTTACCTATAGAAGCACTGGAATTACTTTCAATGATGTGCTTGATTTTGTCCGTTCCAAAAGGATTAACGTATGTCTGGAATGGTATGACTTCAACACACCGGAGGTTTGTTGGGCTG